ATTGTCTTCAGCCACGCAGTGCAAATGAGTTTCTCAGATGGGCCAATATTTTAGTAGAACCTGAGGGAATAAGAACTGGAACTGGTTGGGGCAGGTCAGTCCTGCCATGAGCTGTGTGTGAGACAGAAGGTGGGTGGGGTCCTGGGTGGCAGACAAGAAGTTCTAAGTGTGCTTTGGGTGAGATACGAGGATGCTAGAGAGTAAGGAGAGGGGCATTTACAAAGGTGGCCTGCTTAAGTTTGGCCTTGGAGCCCCTGGGCCTTGGGTTGGCTGAATTTCCATGGCCACAGCCCATGAGGGCTGTTCCTCTGGCCCTCCTCACCTGGTGGACCCTCCTTGCCAGGGATATCTCAACTGCATGGGACTTGGCTGCCTCCTAGTGGCCACTGGGCAGACGTTCTCTTAAAATGGGCAGAGACAACAGGAAGATTTTCCAAAAGCCATTTGGATAGTGCTTCACAGTTATAAGGCACTGTCACAAAAATGACAGTGTAGCTTTTCTGCTTGAATATGCCCCCTGTCTTCCCATAGTCTTCAGCCACCTCAAGCATATTATCTACGCCAACCCTTCCCCAGCCACCTCCAACACTCCACCTTTCAGTTTCCCTTGACTCATCTAATTTCTCCTAATAGGTAGAGAGGGTCCTGGAGCTTGGAGAAGCAAGGGAAGACTGGTGAGCTGACTCCTCCAGGGCCTTGGGTCCTTGCTCTAGCCAGAGATTAGAGAGTGTGGCTGGAAAATGACAGTCCCCTTCACTCAGCTTGTGCACACTCTCCCCTCTTCACATGGTGGTCCTGGTTCCCTGGACACGCCTCAGGACTAGAACTGCCCTGAGCTGCCTTCGCTTCCAAGCCACAAACCCCAGGAGTCCTTAGACTTTAAGTTCCTCTTAAAACCAGACTATCCACCACCACTCCCTTCCCCAAATCAGCACAAAGTCCGCCCTTTCTCTGATGCTATGGAAGGTACTCGCACTTGGCCATTTGAGAGGCTTACCAATTGTCCCTATAGTGAAGGTGGCAGCAGGCAATGAAACATCCATCACAGCAAGATACATAGGGTCCCACACTTTCAAAGGACTCAGTCATGGTCCCCAGTTTTTGGTTCCTAACTTTGCTGAGATCACTGAAAACCCCAAGGGTGAGGCTGACATCCTCCTCCCTGGGTAGCTCAGCCGAGATGCTATCAGACCCAACAATACGCTCCCTTGTGTGCAGAGTATCCTAGTGACCATTGTTCTGATTGTCTTTCCACAGGAAAAGGTAATCTGAGAGTCATACTGAATATTTTAAATGTTGGATGTTGAGTGTGTTTTGGTTTCTGATGTGTTATCTTGAGAAACCACTTAGAGATGTTTTATTTGGGGCAGCACAAAGCAGCCATTAAAATGGTTTCATTTGCGGTATTAAACTTTGTTTCTCCAGGCACAATACAGCAGTTGAGCCTGTTGGGATGATGTCCCTCCTTTCCAAGTAGGACTTGAGAAGAATTAAGGCAGAGAAAGGCGAGGATGCAGTAGAGGGGGCCTCGGACTTCTCTGATGGACAAGAGCTGAGCTAGGACCATGTGGAACCAACTTCTAGGCACAAAGTAGGGTCACAGCAGAGGGTCCTTTCTGGTCCAATGGCACCCCAAGAGCCAACCCAACCCTGTCAGATTCACCCCTCCATGGAAGCCTCAGTAGGGACCCTGTTCAGGCAGGTCACGACCCAAGAGAGAATGCCAGATGTTGAGCATGGAAACGAGGGGGAAAATGGGGGTGGGGGGTGGGATCAGTGGTTTTACTTCCTTCTCTCTTAACAACCCTCAATATTTTAGCTTCTCTCCCCTGCCTGCTATTGGTATTCAATTCCACAGGACCATAATAGGTGAGAATGGAGAAGAGGATTTCAATTCCTTTCATCGCTCCAAATACTGCAGGAGCCAGTAGAAATACCAAGGACTCATTTGCACTTGAATGCTTCTGAGGAGAGGGACAGCCATATACTTGCCCTCTCTGGAAGGAAACGACACCCACTGAGATGGAAGAAAACCTCAGGACATACAGGAAGCTGGATTGGCACAAACCCCTGGGTCTACACCCTTCCCTTTTTTTTTTTTTTTTACAGCTCCTTACCAACTGTGCCAGTAATCACCACAGCTCTCCCCCTTCTCCTCTCAGACTCACTACTTCCTGTTTCCTGTGCTAGGAGCACCCTGATGCCCACTTTCCCTCTGAGTTCCCCAGTTCTGGCAATGGACACAGCCCATATCCCCACTTCAGACCTTCCCGGCCTCTCTCACTCTTGGTTTCTCCCTTCTGCAAGCACCATGGCTGCCTGGGGACTGTGCTAGAGGCTGATGAAGGGCATTTCCAAAATAGCCTCTGTTAGGAAAAAGCTGGTTGGGGAGGTTACTGGGGAGGGGTGCTCATAGATAAAGAATTAACTGCAAAACCATGTTGTTAAGTACTATCCTAGAGGCTCGTACAGATGGTCATTTTATTCTTTAAATTCATCTTGCAAACAAACACCCTCCCAATCCCTTCTTGTCCCTTTCCTTCCTGCTTGAGACAGTGTTTTGAGAGAATGATGTTTGTTGCTGTGGCAACAAATGCATGAATGAGGACAGGGCAGGAAGTTGGGAAAAGCCTGATTTGTGATGGCAGCATTGAGCCATTGGGTCAACTCTGATGTCACCTACCTCCAGGCTCCTTGTTAAGTAGATAAACACATCTCCCTAGGGTTTAAGCCATTGTTGGTGGACTTTTGGTTACTTGGAACCCAAAGCATTGTAACTGATTTTCTTCTAGGTATGAATGAAGGAGTTAAGAGTGACTTAGGGACAGACTCATCACAGTTCTGGTGATCAGTCTGGGAAGAGTCAACTTCTTTGTGGAAAGGGACAGAAAGCCCCATGGTGGATGGACCCACTTAACCTGCATTCACTGAACTTATTCAGCCCTTATTTATGGAATGGTGCCTATGTGGCAGGCATCATGAGGAGTTGCTGTGGTTAAAATCAAGAGTAAAACCACACATAGTCCTAGTTTTCATGAAGCTTAGAATCCAATGAGGGAATAAGACATTAATCAAATAATAACAAGTAAACAATTAAAAGATGAGCTAAGCACATGGAGGAAAGAAGATGCCGTAAGAACATGCAACATGTGAGAACATGCAACACGATACATATTAAATAAAGCCTGGGAGCCAGAAAGATATCCTTGAGAAAGTAATCTTTAAACTGGACCTGAAAGAGGAAGAGGAGGGGTGTGCCAAGCAGAGGCTAGTGAGGCTTGGAGTACAGGGAGCTGTGCATGCAAAGGCCATGAGGCATGAGAGAACCAGGCTGGCATGAGAGCCCTGAGAGGAACAGACTGAGTTTAGGTGGGTTGAAAGTTTACCTTCAGTGCCTCCCCAAAATCTGGCCTACTAATACTCCTTGCCATGTCCCCTGCTTCTTCACTCATCCCACACTGCACCCACCCACCCCACCCACCCCGCGAACCCTGTGTCTTCAAGGCTCTTTGACTAAAGTGCCATGCTGGGGTTCCACCCAGTTCTGCCCTTCCCTCTACTCTACCTTGCAAATGACTCTCTCCTCTATCAAAATCTCCTTTTCCTCTCCATATATCAAGCTATTAAAGAATCTCTTCTACACTTTGTTGAGAGAAAGAAAGAACCATTGGTGGAATTCAGACAGCAAGCAAAGAATTTCAGGCAGGAGGAAGGCCTTGGACATCATATGTCCCGCTCAGCGGTCTCCTGGCCTCCTCCATAAGACACTTGTGGGCTGGGGTGCAGGTCAGTCTGTGCGGGTGAACTGGCCACTCCCCTCCTTTCCTGGATAGGCCAGTAACTTCCCCTCAGCGGCTGAACTCAGAAGTCTCCCTACCCTAGTTTTTTTAAAACTTTTTTTTTCAACGTTTTTTATTTATTTTTGGGACAGAGAGAGACAGAGCATGAATGGGGGAGGGGCAGAGAGAGAGGGAGACACAGAATCGGAAACAGGCTCCAGGCTCTGAGCCATCAGCCCAGAGCCTGACGCGGGGCTCGAACCCACGGACCGCGAGATCATGACCTGGCTGAAGTCGGACGCTTAACCGACTGCGCCACCCAGGCGCCCCTCCCTACCCTAGTTTTTTACTGCAGCAGCACCCAGGGCTTTGTGGGAGGGCTGGGCCACCCTCTGATGAATGGACTTCAAAGCGCCTAAAGAGACGCAGTGGGAGGAGCCTCGCTTTGGAACCAGAGCAGGAGCCACACAGTTCTGGGGATGAGGCTGATCCCCAGTGTGCTGCGTGAGCTCAGGCTGTCTCTTAGCTCTCTGGGCCTCAGTTGCCTCATCTGCAAAAATAAAGATGATCTTCTTTACAGAGTTGCTGGGAGGATTAGAAATAAAAATGTATAGGGGCGCCTGGGTGGCTCAGAGTGTTAAGCGTCCAACTTCAGCTCAGGTCACGATCTCGCGGTCGGCGAGTTCGAGCCCCACGTCGGGCTCTGGGCTGATGGCTCAGAGCCTGGAGCCTGCTTCCGATTCTGTCTTCCTCTCTCTCTGCCCCTCCCCCGTTCATGCTGTGTCTCTCTCTGTCTCAAAAATAAATAAATGTTAAAAAAAATTTTAATAAAAATGAAAAATGTATGAAAGGGGGACAAAGATGAGGTTTTAAATCTGAGCTCAAGCACAGATGTAGCATAGAGATTAACAGTCCAGTCCCAATTCCAAATAGATTGCCCTATACATCTACTCCGACCTATCAGGCCCTGGGTCCTGAGTTTTTATTGGAAAACATGACGATCCCTAGATCTGCATTGTCTGATTTGCTAGCCACTGGTCACAGGTGGCTGTATAAATTCTAATTAAAATGAAATAAAATTTAAACTTCAGTTCTTTACACTAGTCTCATTTTAAGTGGCTCAATAGCCTTTCGTGGTGTCGGACAGAGCAGATATAGAACATTTCCATCAGCAAAGAAAGTTCTATTGGACAACAGGAACTTAGAGAAAGGAGCCACTTGTAAAGAGGAAGTATGTTTATTTTACTTGTCATCTCACTCCTGGACCAAGACACTGATTGGGACAAACTGGCAGTTAGAGAATCAATGGGAGTTTGACACACATGAGTGCACGTGTGTGTGTGTGTGTGTGTGTGTGTGTGCGCGTGCCTGCACATGCATAAGTGTATGGGTAGCAGACAGGCCATGGGTCCAGCCTTCAGGCCTTCCAGATGATCTCATTGACAGTCACCATTTACAGGGCTCGACCTGGTGAGTAAAGTCACAGAATGAAAACCCACCACAGAGATCTCAAACTTGCCCCACCTGTGAGACCCAGGGCTGGGGACAGGGAAGAGGTCCACAATCCTGGAATCTAGTCCTGACTCAGGACCCCAGGAGGAAAGGATCTCCTGGTGTTGCTTCTAAGGCAGAAGGAGAAGACAACACAGAGCTACAAGATACAAGTGTGCCGCCCTTAGGACAGAGGGACATGCAACCCTGATTGCTACCTTGATTCAAGGGCTAAGACAAGGACTTGGCAGATAAAACAAATGGGTTCCCCAGGGAGTCTGCTCTACAAAAGATACATAAGGAGGGGACTGGGTCATTCCAGAGCCTACAGTAGGTCTGCCTCCATGGGTTTCTTACTCACAAGTATGGCAGTCTCTCAAGCTGTTCCTGGTCATGAGACACAACGTGGACTGTTTTCCCAGCAGGCCTACTTCCCAGAGACCTTGGCATCATAGGTGACAGACTTCCTAGCTGACTCCACTTCCAAGAGCCACAAATGTCCTGAGCGGGCCACAGCCACAAAGAGAAATGCCCAGGGAACCCCAAAGCATTTCAGTGCTGTAGACTCAGCTCCCTGGAATTGTGCTGCAGGGATGCCTGCCCTCCCAAACACCTCCCTCCTCTGCACTCACTCATGAGTTTCACTCAGAAGTCATTGGAGCCCCAGGCCTCTGGTCTGCATCTTGAGAGATTGTCTCCATAGTATATGATATTCAGTAAACCTTTTGAGTTAAGAGCCCAAAATTTGGAGTCAGCTCTGTACAAGCTTGCCAAGTTACTTCCATTTCATCATCTGCAAATGCAAATAACAGCATCTACTTCTTTGGGCTGTTGGCATTAATGCATGACTTAGCACAGTGGCCCAAATATGGCAGCTATTACTATTATTAGTTCTACCAAGATGCAGTGACATACAAGGCTGAGCCCCAACTCTGGGGGGGGGTAGCTGGAGAGAGCTTCAGAAGAGGGGCCACAGAGGTGGGTCTGAGAGAGAAGCAGGATCCTGCTAGAGAGGGAAGTGGGGAAGACCATTCTTGGAGGACAGTTGTCTTGCTCAGCCCTTAGGTCTACCTGACTGGGCGGACACCTGAGGCTCACCTTCTTCCTTCCTAAGCAATCATGAGACACCTGGAGGGGTAAGAGGGAGAAAGGGAAGGAAGAGGTAGCCATGGTCTGTGCCCTGGTTTGGGGTAGACACAAATCTGAGGGCTGGATAACTCACTATCCCATCTTCACATTGCTGGCTACAGTGTATCCCCATGTCTGGAAAGTGCAATTAGGGGTCAAGAGCAAAGCGCTGTCTTCAATAGAAGCTGTCTTGAGAGTGGCCTCTAGAAAGAGAAGGCACTACTGTTACCATGAAATGGCTTCCCCTGATTTATAATAGGAAGTGAAGAGCTGGTCTTGTTCTCAGAATGGCCTCAGAAATTCACTGTCAATTTTCCTGTCCTAATAGTGACGACTAAAATAGTAATAATGGCAATAATTCTTAAAACCTGAAATTTTTCTATTATCAATTTCCTTATTGTTACAGTGATAACTCATTCATCCAGAATTCAATATTTGGCAACCTCACTCATGCAAAACAAAGCACAGAATCAGAAATCAGGTGAAAAAGCAAAAGCCTGGAGAAGCTTTGGAGAAGCACATATCATGTGACGAGAGCACTCAGACACCATTTATCCTTATTTTCTGCACAGTCCTAATACCTTGGGTTATGTTTCTAAATTTAATCCGATTGTAAGCAATTTATAGAGTAGCTGCTGGAGATGGGCACCCTGACAGCAGTAGGTGACAATAAAGGAGGAGGCAAAGAAACTTTGAAGGGCAGACCAAGAACCGCAAAGCACAGCAACTGGATCTGTTGAAGAGTCAGTGGTTGAGGGCACCTGTGCCATTCCCACAGGATTCTAGGTTCTTACCAAGGAGCTCAGGACATACATCCCAAAAGTCCAACAGGTGTGTGATCCAATGATTTGGACTGTGTTCCTGCAGGGACAACCGGCACCCATCTAGTCTCAACCTCCCCTCAGCATTTCTGAGATGCTAGGTTACCTTCCTGCTGCCTGTCCCCCACCCCCACCTCCACCCCCACCCTCCCACACACATACTGAATACAGCCCAGGAGGAAAAGCCCTGGCATAGAGGTCTGAGTTCTGAGTGTGACCTCACAAGTTGTCCCTCTGACCTATCATTTATTCTTTGAACTCTTCCCAGGAAGCTCAATTTCCTCCCCCATAAAAGGAATGTTGGACTACATAAGGTCTGACAGTCCATGTGTTCAGGGAGAGGCTGTCTGGGGCTGAGGGATAATGATCACCGACATGATCAAGGATATGCACAGGTGATATCTAAGTGCTTGTACGGGCTAACCTTTAATCCTCTCAACAACCCTGTGAGGCTCCAACAGTGGCATAGGGCCCCACGACTGTTTTAACAGTCTGCTGCTGATACCTTGAAATTCTTAAGTTTTGAAACTGGAGCCTACCTTTTCATTCTGTATTGGAACCTGCAAATTGTGCAGCCAGTCCTGAGTTCGAGGTCTCCTCTTTACAGGAGCTAAGTAACTCCTGTGGTTCCTGACCAAGGACAGTAGCATCATCTGGTGACTAGTTACAAGTGCAAAGTCCCAGGCCCAGCATAGCTCTCTAGAGTCGGATCTGCACTTTAAGGAGATCAAATGCAGAGTCTGCCATCTTAGCCACTGTTTGTCTGCTATTTTCTTCCATGTCTGCACTTACTGGAAACGTATCCTTAATTGAACAGGAAAGATCTCAATTTCTGATCTTCAAGTGACAGGAGATTCACCTTGCTCGTGGGAGGTGGGCTTCTACATGGGCGGGCAGCCCCAAAAGCTGTGGAGGAGCCAGGTCATTCAGAAGTTGCACCCGCTGTGGTCAGGACTCAGGCTGGGACTGGGGCGAGACTAGCAGGAGAAACAGCACAAAATTTAAGGAGACACGCGCTTTCAGGGGTGGACCTTGCACCTCCACACTCCGAGAGCCTCCTTAAACTCTTCGTCCAAGGCTCCCGCTCGCCAGGTGTTGGTGGGAAGTCTGCCTCGGCCTCCACAGCTGACCTCTGCGCGGCGCCTGCCCCGCCCAGCCCACGTGGTTCCGCGTTTGGAATGCGGTGAAGCGTCAGCCTCCAGTCCTGGGAAGTTCTGGCCCGAGCTTCCCCCTCACTGGAAACTCCCAAAAGGGGTGTGAGTGATTGCTACTTTGAGAATTCAGTCTTCACGCCATCTCTTAGCATTTTTAACCTCACGAAGCCCGCAGCAACCCCCTACTCCTCACTTTGTCTAGGTTCAGAGCTCTGTGTTGGGGACTGTTGGGGCAGGCTTCGCCCTCTTCTAATCTCCCGAGCAGACCGCCCCACCTAGCAACTGATAGCCTCTCCCGAGGGCGGAGCTGGGTGCGTGGGGGCTGGGGACGCTTTTATGCCGCCCGGCCTGAATGCAGGTGGGAGACCAGCCTGGAGACTGACTTGCACACCCGAATTCAGCTCGAGCCACATCACCTGGGGGACGCACAGGATTTCCCTCCTCCTGCCCCCGTCTAGTCAGCAATGGGGCTGGTCTTCAGTCGGCACCCACGTTTGAATTCAGAGGGCCCTTCCCCCTAAGAGGGCTGAGAAGCTCAGGGGGTTTTCAGGACTAAGGTTCCCAGAGCTGACCCACCTCCTCACCAGGACAGGTTTCTTAAATGAGGCTTCTCCAATCCACAAATCAGAATCTCCTGGGGATGGGCATGGTCCCTGCTACTTTGTATGAAATAGAAGAAGGTGCCTTCTCTGGGCAGAAGCAGTCTTGCTAGGATGTGACTTGGCAAGTGGACAGAGACTTTAGGTTAAGAAAAATCCCCCCTCCCTTTAGAGAATGCAGCCCTGAGTTGAGGGCATGTGTGGACTGTGGAGCATAGCTTGCACTTTGGCTTCCATTTGCCCTCTTTATGCAGTACACAACCTGCCTTGTTATGAGTGGAGGCCCTGAGTGGGGCTGGTTAAAAGCCCTGCAGGTGATTCTGATGATTGGCCAGGTGGGAGCCTCCAAGGCCGGAGAACAAATATGACCAGATGTGATAGTGATACACGGTGGCCAGCACATGGCACCTTAGCCAGCCCCTTCCTGCTGGGGTTCCTCAGACATTCCCAGGCCAAGGTTCTACCCCCCCCCCCCTTTAAAAAATGTATTTATTTATTTTGGGAGAGGGAGAGAGAGAGAATCCTAACTAAGCAGGCTCTGTGCTGTCAGTGTGGACCCTGATGCCGGACTCCATCAGGAACTGTGAGATCACGACATGAGTTAAAATCAAGAGTCAGATGGTTAACCGACTGAGCCACCCAGGCGCCCTGCTCCCCCACGTTGCCCCCCCCCTTTTTTTTACACACACAAAATAAGCCAAAAGAAAGCCTAACCTCCAGGAATGACATTTAGAGAAGGGGGGAAGGGGGGAGAGAAGAAGGGGAGGGCCCTTATCTATATTAAACAGGTCCAGTTCTCCCTGAACAGACAGCTGAGTCATGAGATGCATCCTGCTCCACCCCCTGCCCTTCCTGTCCAGGAGACAGCTGCCACAAGCATTTCTCCTAAAAGGCTGGGTTCTGAGGGACAGGCAGGATGGAGGGCACTGGTGGGGAAGCAGGGAGTCTGGGCTGTCCCCGACCAAAGGCTGGCTGAACACCCTGGAGAGACTGACAGCTCTCTCAAGGTGTTTCAGCTTTGCCAGTGGAACAGGGAGGTGAGTTTCAGGGTGTTCATGAGAGGGCACTCCACCCGTCCATGTTAGGTGTTCCAAGCTGCACAGTCCTGGCATTGCCCAGTAGCGTCCTTCAGGATCTGGGACGCAGCTGAGGTGGAGAGCTGTGGGTATCAATGAACTTTCACCAGTTACACCGTGGTAGCAAACAACCCTCCCCCAACCTCAGTGTCTACAACAACAAAGGCTTACTTCTTACTCACGTTGGCTGTAGTTCTTTTCCCAAGTTGTGTGCACTCCTGGACCCAAGTTGTGGAAGCAGCCCTGATTTGGGCCATGCCGGGCTTGTGGAAAGAGCAAGGGTGGAACCAGGTGATGGCACTTAAATCTTCCACTGGGATGTGCAGGTGATGTTCTGTGGGTCAAAGCAAGTTACAAGACCCACCCTGAGTCAAAGGGTCAGGGAAGCCTACCACAGGCAGTGAATAATTGGGAACAAGAATGCAACTTACCACAGTTACCCTCTGACTTAGGCCAATGGGATTCCTTCTCCAAAGAGAGAACATCCTTTAGCCAAAGGAGACAGTATGAAGTAGTGGAAAGAACAAGGCTTGGAATCAGGTCTAGATTTTAACCTGGACTGAGCCATATACTAGTTTTGTGATGTTGGCCAAGTTATTTAACTTCTCTGAATATTCATTTCCATCTACAGAATGGGTATAATCCCCAATTCACAGGGAATTTTTGAGGATTAGATAAAATAGTATATGCTAAGTCTTTGACACATAATAGGAACACAGTAAACATAAACTCTCTGCTCTTCTACCCCCTTCCCAGCTTTGGTATTTTATCCATAACTGTGGGGTACTTACAACCAATACTCCTACTAACTTCACAAGGTTGGGATCAAATGGAATTGAGGGAATTTATTGTGTCCTACTGTGTGCCAGGCATTGGCACTACACAATTTACTTTCATATTCTCATTTATTTTGCCCAATAACCCCGTGAGACAGGCACTTTCTTACCCCATTTTATGGATGAGGAAAATAAGGATCAGAGAGGATAAGTAATTTGCCAAAGGTCATGTAATGGCTGAAATAAGATGTGAAGTTTCCAGAACTCACACTCGAAGTGTGGTTTATTTTATGAGTGGTCTGTTTGGTACTGCTCTGTGATAAGCTAAGAACAGAAATGGAGAGTGTTTGGTGGAAACTTTTATGGCAGCTGGGCATTGCCACGACATTCAAGTGCATGATGGATGGTTTTATTTCATTGAACAGAATATAGATGAGTTTGGTTGATGCAGAAGTCTCTGGTAAGTTGCCTGTGGTGGAGGCTATGTTCTAGTCATGCACACTAGGACCACACAATAGTCCACGACTCAGGGGAAATCAAAAGCACTGGTCTTCAGCACAGATGGTGTGGGTAGCACTGTTCTGGAACACCACTTTTTGTGTTGGTGGGCCTGCCCTGCCACCTGTGGCAGACCAGGGGGATATTCATGGTTAATCAAAGTGGTACTTTGTCTACACTGATGTGTAAGGCCTGGGGCCAGGGTCTGTGTATTCCTCCTGGCAAGTGGTTTGTGCTTTGTACGTGGAACATATTCAATATGAGTCTCCACCTTGGTGAATGAATGAATGAAATGATGAATGAATGAATACGTTTCTGGCTGTAAGAGAGCAACTTGGGATGGCTTTGAGCAAAACCATGAATTGGGCAAAATTTCTCTACTGGCTCTCTCTGCTGCCTTCACTTCTAGCTCCCTTCTCCTTCCTCTTTTTTCTGCCCAATGCCTTCAGGGTGCTTTCCCGGCTGCCCAAGACCCCACATGCCCCCCTTTTCCTGTGAGTGGTGCTCTACACTGCATCTCTTCGCTGCCCTCTTTCCTGGCCACTTCCCAGTTCCGAGTCTCTTCCAGGGGGATCTCCCCCAGCTAGCCATCCCCTGATAAAGACAACACAGAGCCTATACATCTAGGAAGGGGCTCTGCTCCTCCCAATAAAATCAGCAAAGATTTCTAAAAATACTACAGGTAATACTGGTGTAGACACCCGAGACTGCCATTATCATATGCTGCTGGTAAAGGCATCTCGTGGTATGTTTCTAAAAGGCAGTTTGGAGATGTGTATCAAGAATTTTCAAAATGCACCTTTTAACCTAAAAGCATGCTTTCAACATTTATCCAAAAATAATCAGGGATGTGGCAGAATGTTTATGTACTGAGGTATTTATCATAACATCATTTACACAGTAAAATAGGGAATTCAACCTAAATGAAAATGATGAAATACATTATGATATAGGCAGGATGAAATGTTATTCAACCATTAAAATTATGTTTTTGAATTATTTTTTAAATTTTTTTTAACGTTTATTCATTTTTGAGACAGAGAGAGACAGAGCATGAACAGGGGAGGAGCAGAGAGAGAGGGAGACACAGAATCTGAAACAGGCTCCAGGCTCTGAGCTGTCAGCACAGAGCCCGACTTGGGGCTCGAACTCACGGACCGTGAGATCATGACCTGAGCCGAAGTCGGACGCTTAACCGACCAAGCCACCCAGGCGCCCCTTGAATTATTTTTAATGATCTGCTAAGATGCTTATTAGCTATTATAAATGAAAAAAAAGACAAGGTTCAAGAATTTTTAAATAAAAATATAGGTGAATGTAAAAATATTATCTGCCTGGATGATGGGATTTGTGTGGTGTTATCTTTTTTTTTTTTTTTTTTTTGTAATTTCTAAACTTTCTATAATGAGCACAAAAATTATTTATGGTCAGAAAAAACATGGAAGACATTGTTTAAAGTCTTTTCTGGCTTTGCAGACAGAACTCTTTCCAGTGTATGTAGTTATACCCTCAAGGCAGTCCTGTTCTGATGCAGGACACTGCTAGGGAAAGTGCCCTTGGCGTTTGCTGAGAGCTAGCCTTGAAGTACTTGAAGTACCTTAAAGTACTGTTAGCCTGTTTCCTGGTCTTGCATTGCCACTAACTGGCTGTTGGGCCTTGGACAAGTCATTTTATTTCTCTGGGCTTTGGGAGTCTTCATTTATAAAATTCTGATTACATTCTGATTCTGGATTCTGATACACTCAGTAAGTCAATGTATTCATTGTGAGTAAGGATTCATGATTTACCGTTCTCTACTGTGAGTATCTTAAACAGTGGATCCTTATCTATAGCTAGAGGAATGACTCTCTAATGATGGAATTTCACATTGGAATTTCACATGAATCACAAACACTGACCATATAGCTCTCTACAACTCACACATTCTAGATATTATCTGACCTTCTGAGAGAGTCAAGGATCCTTCCA